CAGGAGCTAAAATCCACAACCCGGTCGGAAATGGCGGACTTCCTGCCGCTGCCCTTGGAGAAGCTGGGGGACCGGGTGGAAGTGCAGGGTGAGCGGCTGTGTGGCTCCTCCGGGCGCGTCCTGCTCTGTCGCAGACGCGCTCAGCGTTCCCCGGCTGCCGAGTGCTCCGTGTCGAGGGATTACACACGTCCTCGTCAGTCACGGCCAAGTTCGTGCACAGTGCCCACCGGGCCACGTTCACTTGCTTTTCTTGACCCAAGGGAAGGACAGCCTGTTCAGGGACCACCCCTCACAGGCCATCATCGCTCACCAGACGGTTTTATTTTTCCCAAATCTCACTCCCGGCTGATTCAGTGTCTGGCTGTCAGTGGAACCTTGAACTGAGGTGACTAGTATTTCCAGGCGTACGATATCAGGGGTAGTTTGGGCACAGATTAGAGAGAAGGTATAGAGATACAGATAGCAAACCATCTTATTAAAAGTTTTGGATTTGGGATCATTATTCTAGTAATAAATGGAGTAACAAAGTGTGGTCGCCAAGGATAAAATTCAGGCCCTCTTCTCCCCTCCCCGCATCCCACCCCCGGCCCAGCTGTGACATGCACGCAGCTCATTGGGGGACATATTTTAATTCTTGGGAACTTGCTCAACACATCGCTAGTGCTCTTACTCTCGAATGGAAGCCACGCCCTCCCAGCCCACCAGCTGGGGAATAGACAAAAGGGACCGTTTCCACAGTTTATAGGAGGGAACAGTCACCCTGAAGGTTTTTTGTTTGTTTTTAAATATATTTTTATTGGTTTCAGAGAGGAAGGGAGAGAGGGAGAAACATCAATAATGAGAGAGCACCATTGATCGGCTGCCTCCTGCTCCTGCCTCCCCCCCAGGGGCTGGGGGGACCCCTCTGGAGCCTGCACACAGGGGATGTCTGGGAAGATGCCCAGGGTCACAACAGAAAAGCCTTCAGGGGCCAGACAGGCCAAGGGTGAGGAGGCGGGGCCGGGCCGGCCGGGAGGACCGCGCACCCAGGTGAGCCAATGGTCAGTGCGGTTTGGGGCGGGCCCTGGGGTGGGCCACTGTGCCTGCATCCCCCGCCCCTGATGGGTGCTGCCCGAGCGCCCGCTGGCCCTCACCAGGCCGGCCTAGCCGCTCCCGCCCTGCGCCAGGCAGGTCTCATGTGAACAGGAGGGATGCAGGACAACGTAACAACTAAAGACACAGAGAGTGAAGAGAACCCAGGTATAAGAGAAGGGAAGGAAAGCAAAACTCAGAAAGTGGTTTCTTTAAAAATAAAAAGTTTAATTTGCATTAAGTATAACAAGGGCAACCTATACTAGCACGTTCTCAGAAACACAGCTTGGGTGATGCAAGAGCCAGGACTGAAATTCTGACGATAACCCCCCAGTGTTTCATTCAACATTTGACCCGGCAGCCCCTCTAGGAGAGGGACTCTCAGGCCAGGTTCTTACTGACACGCTTTTCGCTCTACGTGTGGGCTTCTACCTAAAACTCTCTAAAAGGAACATTTCACCAAAAACAACTCAAATTTAACAACTGAGAACCAAGAGCCTGTGGGGTGTGCGGCCCCTTCTCCCGCCGCCAGCAGCAGGCCGCGGACTGGTGCGCGGTCTCTTCTCCTCCCGGCGTCCGGCCAGGAGCCAGTGTCGGACGCTCAGCCGCGGTCGGAGGGCCAGGCTGCGGGCAGGCGCTGAGCTCCAGAGCCTGATGCCTTGAAAGGAAATGAGGTAAATGAGCATAAAGTCGGTTACAGCTGGAAAATGGTAGTAAGCAGAGGGGGCTCAGTGATTTCAAACAGCGTCTCCACTCGAACATGGAGCATGGAACGCTACATGCTTTCTTAAAGTAAGATTTCACTTATTCACGTTCTGGTCAGTGTTTGATACTATTTCACGCTTTGTTAAGATCCAGGAAAAACTAAGTCCTAATAGCCCTGACTGGGTGGCTCAGTGGTTGAGCACTGGCCTGTGAACCAGGTTGAGGTTCGATTCCCGGTCAGGGCACATGACCAGTTTGCAGACTCGATCCCCAGCGTGGGGTGTGCAGGAGGCAGCTGATTCATGATTCTCTCTCATCACTGATGTTTCTCTCTCTTCCTTCCTCTCTCTGAAACGAATAAAAACATTAAAAAGGTTTTTTAAAGAATCATCCTACTATTAGTCTGCAAGTAGTTGCTCTTCCTTCTCTCCTGACCCTTCATTCTTGTCAATTCTTCCCTCTCTTCACGCCACACAGCGACTGGGAATTCAGGATGGAGCTCATCCTGCTGCCACCCAGGCCCCATTCAGCTAGTGCTGTGCTCCCAGTGCCAAGCGCAGGACGCCCTGGCCATGAGGCTGCTGCCACCCAGGCCCCGGGCAGCCGAGCTGAGCTAACCAGCCCTGGGCTTCGCTAGAAATGCTCCCTGCACAGCTCAGGCTTTGTGGTGTCGGGTGGATTTCTAGCCATTACCCTAGAGCAGTGGTTCTCAACCTTCCGGCCCTTTAAATACGGTTCCTCATGTGGTGACCCAACCATAAAACTATGTTCGTTGCTACTTCATAACTGCAATGTTGCTACTGTTATGAATCGTCATGTAAATATCTGATATGCAGGATGGTCTTAGGCAACCACTGTGAAAGGGTCGTTCCACCGCCAAAGGGGTCGCGACCCACAGGTTGAGAACCGCTGCTCTAGGTGTTTCTGGTGTAACTATTAAAATGGCAGGAATGGAAACTCTCTCGTGGCGACAGCTGTTTCCAACGCCCGCTTCCGCGTGCCGAGGGGGTGCCCGCCTACCTGCGCTCACACCGGACCCTCTGCAGCGGCGTCTCCCGGGGGCGGCAGGTGTGCCTAGGCAGGAGAGCGTTCAGTTACACAGGATTTACACTTGCCCTCTCGTTCATCGGCCTCAGCCAAGGGCTCTCAACCTTTCGGAAGTGACGAGCCATCAGACGTCCATCCAGTGCTGCCCACGTTACATAGAATTTCTTTCTAGTTTTCCATTCATTTGTGTGATGATGGTCCCTCCTGACAGGGCCGAGGTAGGGAGGCGCAGGGGGCACCACACCCTGGGAATTAAAGAGGCAGCCATTTCGCTTAGCCACCCCCACCCGGAGCGAACACGCCTCTGCCCTGCTGCCGCAGCCTGAGCCTGGATGGGCAGGAGGGACCGGAGCCTTCGCCAGGAGGGGGTCTGATTGCACGGTCCCAGCCCCGGGCTTATTCCCTCACAGCGCCCCCTCGTCCTGGCTGTTCCCGGTAGTGACATAGATTTAGTCAGTTATCCAGGAATTCGGGGGTTTTCACCTAGGGGAAACTTCTAAATAGGCCGAGAATGCCTGGTATTACCAAAAATTATGTAGTCTTAAAACTATTTAAATTTAGCCTTTTAGCCAAAAGAAAAAAAATACTTAATTTCGTTCAAAAACTATTTTCTAATGGTTAGTGTTTGCAAGAAAAAGACGATTAAAATAGATTTGACTGCAGCACTGTACCATGCAGTCTAAAGAGCGGCCCATGTACTAGTGAGGTGAGGACTTTAGCAAACACGGATCTAAACGTACCAGGCCAGGCAGTGCCACTGCTCTCACCACCACATGAAGCTCAGGTAACAGACACCACAAACACGTTCCCCTCGTGATGGAGACGAGCTCAGCAATGAGTGGCCCTGGACGCGCGGCTCCAGGAAGGCGTCGGGCGAGAGTCATAGCAGCTTCGGTCCCTCCTGGTCCCTCCGGGCGCCGTCCCACACGCCCCAGGGAAGGGCCTGGCTCAGCTGGTCCCACGTGAAGACCATCTGGCTTCCAGCGAAGGTCACGTGGCTTAGCGAACATGTAGGACTGACGCTGCGGGACGAAGGGCGACGAGGCCAGGGCACCGGTGTTCTTCCCTAGCATGTTCCACCCACCAAACACAGCTCTGCACACGTGTGAACCAGGCCGAGCGAAACGTTATAAACACATACACACACACACTCACACACACAGACACACACACATACACACACACTCACACACCGACTCGCAGATAAATGGGATGATGGTGTGGCTCAGGTTTGTTGATTTCTGTAACAGATGGAGAAGCAAACTTCTCCAGGTTGTTCATGGAATAATCGCTAGCCCCCAGGATCTGGACAACCTACTTCTTGCAGCAACAGACGTGCAGGGCACAGAGCTGCCGCCGGCACCGCTGCCGAGAGCTCCGCGTGCACTGGACGGAGCGAGAGCCGCGCTCTCCCGGGGACTGTGGGCGGCTCAGGGCTGCCGGCGCCTGGCTATGCCCTGAGCCTGGACGCCCCTAACAGACTCCAGACATGAAAAAACCAACACAAAACAAGCCCGTCACCCCCGCAGTGAATAAACACTCGGAGCCAGGCTAGCATGCGATATTCTTTATTTTTCTAGTTTTTCGTGCACCGAATACCAGTGGGAGCATCACAAGCAGCATAACCCCGACAGCGCCACTGAGCGGGTCTGCTCGTCGGAAGGGAACAGCTCTGCCTCTGAAATAACCACTGACTACACAGCCCTGCAGCTAACACACACAGAAACCCTAACGCGCTAGTGCTCCCGACTGGCTAGAACACTGCTGGGGTCGAGCAACAGAAACACATGAGAAAAAGTTAGACACTTGAGCCTCGGGCAGTGAGACCCCAAACAGCAACCAGTCGTGCAATGACTTGTCAAGCTAAGAACTTATTCAGCACATGAGTGAAGGTCGTGAAGAGAGACCATCACAGTGTGACACTAGATCCAGGTAATCACACACCTACAGTTACATCTAACTTCTCGCAACCAGCGACCTGCAAGAATTCATCTACGGGGTTAGAGACACCACGCTGGCGGGGGAGGGGGCCTCCCGCCATGGAACCTCCAATGCCCTCCTCCTCTGCCCACAGCCGTGCCCGGCCACAGCCACACCAGCTTCGCCCTCTTGCCACCCTTGCTTTGTATGTTGTTCAACTTTTTAAAACATTCTTCCTTCTTAGGATCCCCCAGAATTAACATGCGGATTTAGAAGATGAAGTTTCTCAGCTCCGCCCTGGAACGGGAGGCAGGGCGAGTTCTGCCTAAATGTCACTGCCCTGACGCACCACTTCCTCCTGCTCTCAGCCATGAGCACTGCTGAGCTCCTACTCCCCTGAGAAGAGGTCAGGTTCCTCCTCACTGCCAGGGGCGGAGGGACACTGGGCTCACAATTTGAAGTTACAGGGCAGACAGGAGGGTCCCGGGCCGGTGGCCGTGCTGGGAGCTGGTCTGAGACCGGAGAGAAGAGTGTCCAGATCGTGGGGAGGTTACGCCCCGCCCTACAGGCCGCACCGCAGCTCCTGAGGCGCTACTTTGGGGCTCTGGACCCACTTTGTTATCAGTTCTGACGCCCTTTTATCATGTATTTTCCACATAAAGTTAAAAACCCTTTGATAAGCACCTGACTACTGAGGGGGTGTCGCTGCGCTAGCTCTCCATCTGCCGTCAGGCTCTGGGCTCCTCCGTGCCCGTCCGTCCTTATCTTTTCCCCTAAAAGCAAACTGGGCTCTGGTTCACCTGACAGCGAGCTCCCCTCCAACACCTGGGAGCGCATGTTCTACGGGAGCGGCCCGAGGGGGCCATTTTCTCTGCAAATGACAGCCTTTGCATGCAGGTAAGACACCGACCCATCTTTGTACTCAGATCGTCTCAAACATTTGTGTGGGTTTGTGCCAATGGAAGTTATAACAACAGTGAGTCCAAGAGCTTCTATTACTAAGGCCACGAGGCAGGCTGACCGGCAGCGGCCCCTCCTGTGGTGCGGAGCGTGTCCTTCCCCCACGGCCGCGCATCACGGAGGCGAATGGGAGGGTGCCCTCGCCCCACAACCCGGTCAGCTGTGACACCTCGTGGCGCCATCCTGCGGGGCTCCCTAAAGGATGCTTTCCCTCTCCTCCCCGAAGCCGGTGCTGTCGGCAGTGGCCACGGCCAGGAGCTCGGAGGACTCCGTGGAGAGCCGTGCGTAGCTCGCCCGCGGGCCCCGCTTGGGCGCCAGGCCCCTCAGGTTTTCGTTCTGCAGGGCCGTGGAGCTGGAGCTGGGCCGCAGGAGGACCGGGGCCGTGTCCCGGGGCCCCTCCCTCTCGGCCGGGGCGCTGTTGTTGTTGAGGGTCACGGTGCTGGGCGTGCGGTTGAGGTTGAAGGCCTTCGGGCCGGCGGGCCAGCCCTCCTCGGGGCTGCTGGCCATCAGGCTGCACTGGGAGGGGCTCTGC